CGGGGAATGATAATGGCTATGATTCGGGCTTACTATCTCACTACCAGCGCCTGATATTTGATCCGGTGTTAAACAGGGTTGCATTTCACAGCTTATCCCACTTGATCATGCTCTTAAATGGATTTGCGAATGGACTTGTACCACGATGGCAATTAACAGACATTCCTTACGCAGACCATATTGCTATATTAGTATAGTCCGAATGATATACAGAGCGTATTTTTTGGGAGTGCATGTCACCAGTTTATCCAGAAACTGGTAAAATTAGTTTCTGAGCCATGAGAGGGCAGCACTAAGATTCAATGGCTGTCAGCTTATAAAAATGAAGTTTCGCATACTCTGGGCAATTTTTTGTCAGACGGACAGAGTAAAGAGGGCATCATTTCCGAATCGATGTTTCATGGAGAGTTTTTTGAGGCCTTCGGTCTATGGATCAGACACGACATTTTTAACGCCAAAAAGACTTGCATGTACCTGGAGCCCGTCAAGTCAATCTTTCAGTCCGGTTGCAAATACAAAGCTTGCGCGTGAAAAAAACGAACGGAAATTGGCTACTTTCGACCATGGTTACCTGAGAACCACCCTTCGAGTGAAGTACATCGATTTCGACTTCAATGAAGCGAATTGAAATAATTGTAACGACGTTATTATATCTCATGTCATCCATTTTGATGGCTTAGATTAATTCACTCCGTCAGGGCATAGGAGTATTACCTTGAAATTGTCATTTTTCGTTGATTGGTACTGGTCAAGATTCCCCTAATTCACTGCCGTAATGAAGGAGTAGAATCTATGGAGCTATCGAACACAAGCAGATAAGACATGATCGCAGTTGTATCATGTAAAAATACAAAATACTCGTCTCACACAACCCCCAAAGCAGACGCAATAACGGTATCCACGTGTACTTTGGTCAAAAAAAAACAAAAAATTGCAGAATAAGACAAAACGAGATTGAATTATAGGCAAATTAACTAGGCATTCGGGGCTATGAAAATGACATGCATACTAACATTCATGGGCTTTCAGTGGGAACCCCGAACAGAGGACGCTACAGCTAAGGGTTAAAGAACTAGCTAGTATAAACACCTTACTTCCAGAGAACAGCCACTTGAGAAAAGGAAACGCTTGATGAAGATCATTAATTGTCTCGAAACGAAAACAGAATAAAAAACGGAAACATCTTAACACTAAAACAGTAGAGCAACTTACACTTGATAAAGAAGTTCGTCGCTGCCTCATCGTGTTCATCAAAGTACTTCTTACAGAAACGCTCCATATCTTCGTAGTCTCTGTCATACCATCTTCTGCAAGCATCGCGCCTCTCTCTGAGAAGACGGACGATGTTCGCATCAACAAGCCTAGATTAATGGATGCGGGAAATATTCAGAAGCATTTAATAGAGTAAGATCAATAGAAAGGTCAGTGGCGAACATGAGACACGTGAGGGAAATAGTTATATCTACGACACATCATTCGACTTAAAAGTTTGTGTCAAGACGGTATACCGAGGAACCGAAATTTATAAATACTACTGCTTGCAAAATAAGGTTTAAAACAGAGTTATGGCACATAATAAAGGGTAACAGACCGATCACGATGAAACTGCTCATTCGCCTCGATTACGCAAACTTGATCACCAACCGGACATTTATCAATTTCAGGAACTCTTGCGAAACGTTGATGATAATAGGGAACCGGTTTTTGTTGAACCTTTTCCACGAAATACTCTGCAAACGAGTGTAACGATGGGAAGGAGGACGTACCACGGAAGAGGGTCACGGGTTTGTCAATGAGACTGCCTAGAAAGGGAAGCACATATTTTGTATGCCATGGTTCTCTGAAGGGTCGATAAAGCTCCTCCCGAGTTATCTCAAAGGAATGATGATCATGTGCTTCTTCGTGGTCACCCATCTGCAAAGCAGTCAGAAGCGTCCAGCAGTAGCAGCGACCAGACTAGGTAACCGGAGAACCAAAGCCAACCAGCCACACGAATTTAGTAGACGTTTCGTTTATTTCGTAGGCCGGTGTTTGAATATACACAATATTCAGGATTTTGGACCTAGGGACAGTGTCGCTTAAATTCACTTTATTTTGGAAAGAAGGCTTTTGCCTTTGAGCTCCCTATTCATATCAATAATAGCAAAAAAGTTTGGCTTTAACAGCGGTGCATCAGACAGTGTAGAGTTAACATCAACGACAAGTGTGAGACAGTCGCAAACTGTGATTACTGACACAATGTTCATTTTATGTACCACATTTTCTCAGCACATGAGAATCCAGTTTGCGTTTAACTGTCTCAACAGATTCTAAAAGGACTACCTCGTCAGGGAGTCCGTTCCATACTCCAATGACCCCATGCGAGAAGGCGTTCCGGCGAACTTCCATATGGGCCCGCTTCCTCCGTATTTTAAAGAGATTATCCCGCATATGGTCCGTCCGAGCTACTTCGAAGAAGTCGTCAGATTCTAAGACGAATTCACGTTCTCTCCAAATTCGGTAGGTTTGAACGTGTTCGCCGCTTAGTTGCCTGTAATTGGGAGAAATAAAATATAATTCAGCTAACCTGCATCGCGCAACTTTTAAATTGGGTTGCAAGTTGCTGACCTCCGAGAATTTTCA